AGGTCACTCTGCAAAAACACACACACACACACACACACACACACACACACACTCATGAAAATACTTCTCACAACCTTTCCTCTTTTCTGCAGTATAATGACAGTAGTGATGCCTGATTAGAAGCGAGTTGCTTGTACTGTTACTGAGTACAGAGTTAAACCATGAGAGCAGACTGTGGGACTACAGAGGTATCAGTAGTGGATTTTTCTCTTGCACGCGACTGTTGACTTAGTATTCATATTTAGGCCTTCCAGCTGGATAGTTCCTACTTGGCTGGATTAAAGAATATGGAACTTGTTTGGAGGAAAAGGACATAAATCAAATATGGCTCATTGATGTTGGCACCTTCTGTTATGTCTTTATATTTCTATATTATATTTTTTCAAGACTGGTGGTTCATACATTGTTGTAACACTATACTATACAAAATATGTGTGCATTTTAGCTACAAAGTAGATGCTGCACATCATTTTAAGCTGTATATGTCCACACTTACTTTTCCATCCTTCCAAATGGCCTTTTTTTCGTCAGTACTCCCAACACCATCCATTTTTCTCCCTATTTGCCAAAAAAGTCTTAAAACCTGTGAATTCCACGCACATTTCCTTCTGTTTCTCTGGGGCCAATTTCATTGTAAATCTCACAATATCCGGCGGGCTCTAAACAGATTTAGGTCTTAAACTCAGCTGCTGCTAGGGATTGTGTAAATAAACCATTCATGAACACTACTGTCTGTCCAACTCCTCACAAAGCAATAAGGAGCCACGTGATGTCTCTCATACACATGAAACCAATTCTTTTAATTTGACAGCAAGGAGATTCACTGCGATGGATCCCCCTCTGGCTTCCCACCAACACAGCCAACTCTGTTAAAGAGTGTGACCAAGCCACAAGTACAGTGACCAGGTATTCAGCCCCAGGCACTTTTATAAACGTTCTGAAAGACTCAATGAGACCACCAGAGGTTTCATGCTAAACTGTAGCTGACAGTTTCTAACAACCTCCAGAAACCAAAATGTACAAGGCAGTTGTAGATGTTAATAATCTAATCGTGAGGAGTCAGGAAACAGCTGTGACCACTGCTGAAAAGATGGTCTTTTCATAAAACTGGGCTGCCTATGCAGTATAGAGACGCAAATATTTGCATTTTGCCCTGTCAAAACGCAGGTGTCCTACACTCAGTGTTGTGCCTGAATGCGTCCTGTGCAGACAAATTGAAGATAAAGCTGCTGTTGCTTAGCTAACATGCCACTTTTATTACACAGCCTAGTATTTTGTGAATAGACCTTTTTCACAGCAGCGATTTTGACATGAAATTGTAGAGTAGTTAGTATCATTGGTAACATCTGTATTTACCCTACTATTTCATGTAAAAATGGCTGCTGTGAAAAGTCTATTGGGGATATTGCAGTAGAAATTTGGCTACAATACAACAATATAATGACATTGGTCCATTTCCATTTGAATTTGCAATGGAACAACCTCCATTAAGTTTAGTACCTTATAGTAGATATTTTTGCCTTGTGGCGCCCGGCCGGTCTCCAGGATGTAGTCGTAATTACGGTGGTCAATGATAAGGATCCCACCTGGTCGGACCATACTGGCAATGTTCTGAAGGGCCAACTTTTGGTCACTCTGGTCCCCTGAGAGCAAGACAACATTACTTGCATGATCATACACATTGAACAAAATTATCACATGTTAGATGTGTTTGTGGCTGGACGCTGGTTGTTTGTGGTAAAGTGAAATATTGGAAGCATCAACTCAAGGACAGATCGTGTTTGGTTGGAGATGGTCTGGGATGAATCCCAAATATATATCCTTGGTTCTGATTGTACAGTATGAAAGAGTTCATTGGAAAAACTGATTGTTTAAGAAATGGATCTGTCCATTTATCTCTCACGTACCTTTAAAGTCTGGTAAGTGGGCGAATGAGTTGCCAAGGCAGATAACAGCATCAAAGCCAGCTCCTGGTTTCTGAATATCGTCTGATAACGTCAACCAGTTGGCTTCTTCAATCACTAAGGATAAGAGGGAAAAGAATGAGGATGTCACCTGATGAACACTGCAGATATTTGATCTGACATTCAGTGTGAGAATACATAAACTTAAATATCACGCTAAGTTCTGAAACATTAAAACACAACACTCTTTAACAAAATGGAAAATGTCGTACCCCACTGGTCAAAAGCAGGCTCTTTTCTTCTCTCCCATCTTGACTTGAGTGCATACTTGAGCATTTTGTCGCTGGCATCCACACTCATCATATTAAACCCCTCCTCCACCAACATAATGGAGTCAACTCTACAAAATAAAAAACATATGCTCTTTAAAAACAGGTTCTGGAAAAACAACAGCACAACCTGGCAAGCTCTGCTGATCACACTCCATTTTTCTACAACAGTGAAGTGAAACACACATTTCTAAAAAGTCTAACACCGGTGACTTTATCCTGTGTCTGAAGGAATATGACTGAAAACACTGTGACATCAGCTGAACCTGCTTTGATCTTTAGGTGAGGCGGTTCATTCAAACAAGAACGTGTGCTCCTAGACTCATTTTGGTTGGAAATCGACCTCAGCTATGCAGTCTGTTAGGATTGAGGATGCCTTTTATGTTTCACATGTATTTGAGATAGCTGATATTTGAGAGACAGTAGCTCCTCGTGCTTAGAAAGGCAGAACAACATGAACGCAGGTGAAAACAATGTCAACTCTCTTCTGCGATTACAGTTTCTTACACCTTTTTCCAAACAGTAACTAGTTCTGAGTTAATGTTAAACAATACGGGAGAGCGAGAGAAGCATTCAACAGATGGAATCCAAATTATGCACGCCCCATGTTAAAAAAAATAAGCAAGAGCAACCCAGGAGCCAGATCTATTGGACAACGACCTGAAAAAAGGCAACACACTGCAATCATTAACAATAACTGGGTAACTGCAAGCAAACAAACCAACAGTCAAAACAGAGTACAACTATATAATTACAGCTCAAATTAAACCCAAGACTTGAGATTAAGGCAACATTTTTTACAAGCTTTGGTTCACTTGCAATTACGCAACATAAATCTCAAAGCAAAACAAAAGCCAAAGAAAGAAAATCCTCTACGGTTCAGGCGAATTTAAATCATATGTAAGTCATAATGATTATATCCTTCACTGAAAGCATGCAGCTTCTTCTGCTCTTGCATAAGTTGCTTCTAAATCTGATGACACAACAACTGGAAAGCCAGGCATCACAGGCACATTTAGACAGCCAAAAATAGTGAGGCCATTGGTAACCTCATTCCACTATGACTGTGTTTACGTCGCCCCAGATGGTCGTGCTACACACAGTATGGAATGGGGTCAGGGTGTGTGTGCTGAATGGAGCATCACACAGTGCTTTCTGAGATATAAAGCTTTACAATGTTTACTTCTGAGATGCAAACGATTGCGCTGTTGACCAAGAATGGATGGGGTTATGCTAAAGAGTATTAGCGCCGTAAAATTTATCAGCCAAAGAGAAGTGGCTGTAATAATTGCTTTTAGCAGATGGAGCAAATAAACTGATAAATCACTGAATGCTTCCTTAGTGTAAATTCCTGTCGCCATTAAATGATAAAAAAAAATGATATTATTGAATCTTCTGCACAATGTCTCCCAGATAAAAATAGACCAATTGAGGTGAACTGGCTAGGCAGACGGGTTAAAGTATGTTGTCTTCTTGTTCAGCCAATGGCCTCGCTGCTGTCCCAGAGTACAGATACACTATCAGCAGAGGTAAACACACTGCAGGGAACCAGTCTAAACTCCCTGCAGCAACACAGAACCAGCTCATCAACCACTGGCCTCTACATCTGCTATCATACACGTGTGACACCCTACAGCTAGCTGCTAGTTCTACAAACCATAAAGTACATCTTGTTTAGGGTATATGAGCCTTCTTAGTTGCAAAAGAAAAACACATCCAATCAACATGTCTCGGCTTGTGGTCCCAGTCACAGGCTGCTGCTGGAGGCAGGAACTGCCACAGTGGCTGGTGCAACTCTGCACTTTCATTCATTACTCCCTGGCCTAATCCGGATTTTGTCCAGAGTTAAAAGGTTCAGTGGGTTGGAATTCCAGCAAAGTCAAACTAACTTGATTATCTCTAAAGATAATCCGACTTATTTATTAGAGAACAAAATAGGCTTTTTTTCATACTTTTACATAACTTGAACTTGAACAACAAAGTGAAGAGAATTATGGGGTTGAAATCTTCTTAGATTTGTCTGGTAGCTTTATCTAACAGAAATTACAAAGACTACATACGTGGAGAGATTTACATCTGTGGAGCAGCATAATCCTTTTATACTTTCTGAATGGACACACCCATTCACAAACCTGGAGGGTAACCGTGGGAGCTTAATTTTGATCTGCATGTTTCACAACTGCATTGGGTGCAGCTTTTGGTATCCAATAGATAACTCTTTGGCATTGCAACATTTGAAAAAATCTCTTATTTTATCACAGTTGCTGCAAATCAGAATATGCAATAACTAGAGGAAGTGAAAAAAAAACAGACATTTCATTTAAATAGTGTAGACTTGGCTTACAAATTTCATGCCGAATTAAAGACTGTGCAAATATAGGAAACGCGTACGAGTTTGGGCTAGAACAGTTACCTTTTGAAAGGGTGTGCATTAAATTGAACTATTTTTGAATGGAGCTTGGTGAGACCCAAAGTTAAAACCTGCCACATAGCCTGACATTACCCAGTTCCGCAGGCTACATCCAGCACTCTCCGCACCCCTTGCTCTTTCAGCAAAGACACCACCCAGTCTTTGTATTCCTGCGTCCTACTCTGCGTGTCTCCGATGTACAGCTCCCAGACTTTGGCTGCTTTTCCGTCGGCATACTGATCAGGAAGACCCTCGGCGGCCACTCCGAGAGAGCGGGTCCTAAACACGCTGTCGACCGACATGCTGCTGCTGCTTGTACCTGCCATGGTGGCTTCTTTTAGCTTACACAGCAAATGAATGAGATATTCGGCTGGTTGCTAGAAATGTGAATAAAAACGAGCTACTTGTCTGACAGTTATTCTCTCCACATGCTAGCCCAGATTTTGGTTGTTATTATTTATATGAGCAACGCAGGGGGACAAACTTTAACCCAATGACACGCTGCTGTGTACTGACGCCTACTTTCTGATAGGATGAAGGAAGGAGATACGGCCCCCATTTCCGTGTTTACGTTAGCAGACGTCCTTGACGTTTATTTAGATCGTATTTTTACCTCTAAATTAGCCTCCCAGGATAAATGTAACGCTATGCTGCATTATACAGCAACCCACGACCAGGTCTTTCAATCAGATACTGTAATTGTTTGGGTCAGGGTAGGGAGGTTTGAGGTTAGAGGTCCGCCAGACTGCTAAATAAAGCAGAATTTGTACTCAACCCAGATGAAGGTGTTGCCTGTGAGGCTGCACTCAGGGTATAAAACCGCTTTTGTATGGACCTCTCCCCCTCAAACATTTCATCATGTATCATTTCATCATGTATCATTTCATCATGGCAGTGTGGACACATTTCTTATGGAATTTATGGAATATGTAAAAGTTTAGCAAAATAATAACAATCAAATTAAGCGGAAATGTGAAGTTTATTTGCCATTTTAACATCAACATTGACTTTACCACCCAGCACTGATCTAAAGACAGAGTGCAAAAGAATAGAGTAACATAAATAAAATGTTATAAAATTTTCTGTCGCACATACCAGGCAATCAAATCTCTTTTTCTCTCTTTTTGTTCCCTCCCAAAAAGTGAACTCCTCCTGTTGTCATTGGCTGATTGAGTTCACAAAAGAACATATATTTACTGGTGGAGGTGAGGTTGTGTCAGCCGCAACCGGTGAAATCCAGGTTGGATTTGTACCACCCAGTCTTATCAACACTACACTCCCAGTTTACAACATGCACTCTCATAGTCACACACACACACACAGAGGCCTACAGTTATTTCCATAGTGCATGAATGGAGGCACAATAAGCAGCAGCCTACAATTCCAGTTCCACCAAAGTTGTGGAGACAGTAACTCTCTGCTCAGGGCTGATGCAGGCTGATTGGTCCAGCTGAGCTCTTCTGTTTTATATTACAGGTTTAACTGGGAGCACATTTTTGTTAATGTGTGGGTATGTGTGTGTGCACAGATATAGGGACTTATAAAATACATATGCAGTTGAACTTTGTGTATTTTGAGGGCTTGGCAAACGTAAATTAATAAATATATAATAACATTATTGCAGGGCAGATATTATGTTACTCTTAATCACCTGATATGAATCCAGTTGAGTGTGGATTTTATTTGCTGAAGACTAGACAGAAGGCAAAAAAGGCTCAAAGCAGGCAGAAAATAAAACACAGACACTTGCACAGGCCTGACAGGAAATCATGATATGATGATTTTATTTGCATTTAATTTCACTGATCAATATATTTTGGTCCTTGAAAACCTGTGGGACTAACAACTGCAATTCCTTCATCATTTATCTGTTTTTTTCCACCATTGTTGAGCTTCTGACCCTGAGCCTGAACAAATCCTTAAATTAAAGCTGAGTCATTACAGTCACTGTTAAATTACAAAGTCATTGTGAGTGCAGAGCAAATACAACAATAATGTGTCACTGCCCTAACACGTCCAATGGGACCTTATTCACAATGATTTGGAACAAGCCCTTTATCTGTAATCATATTATTTATGGAAGATTAATTGGTCTATTTTGTTCCACGTTCTCAAGAACATTATGAGATTTGACCATTCATTTTCGCTCACATTTTTCCTGAAGTGTTTGTTCATTTACTGCTTTGGTGTTTTCTCACTGATTACACAGTGGAATTCCTTTTTTACGGGCAGTCTTAGCTGGTGTGTTTCTTTTCTGGTAGAGAAGAAGAAACAGACTTATATAAAGGACCGAATGAGATAAAGGCAGGACTCAATGGTGGTCAAAGTTTTAGCTCCTGATCGGATAGATTACTGGGGGTTTACGAATGGGATTTTCTAGGCAATATCGGAGTTGATTTGGTCAACCATTTATTGTGTAAAACCAGGTTAACCCCTGTTAGTTCAGTTGCCGCAAGGTCCTATGTTAAGGCAGATGTTCAGTACTCTTTGTTTCAGGAACTAGGGAGTGGCACTTCTGCTGTAGGTTATTTTGAATATGTATTAATTTGTCACTGGTGTTAGGCACTATCAGTAAAATATGTCTCAATAGTAACATCTAGTGGCAGCTGTGGTAACTGCAACAATAATGCTGTAATACCTAGTCACTTTATTTGAAAACTCCCTTCTGCTGGCAGACTTGTGACTTGTGAGAACCGGTTCAGGTCTGTCTTCTTCTCAGTGATCTCAGGGAGCATCAGATGAAGAGAAGGAGTGAGGGATCTACTCAATTTTCCATGCAGTAAAAAAGTCCAGAAAAACGTAAACAGGAAAATAAAAACTTTTTTTTTGCACATGCAGCTCTATAAAACCGCACAATGAGCAGCTCACCATGGACAGTCCACAGGAAGAGATACAGAAACACAGACGAACAGAAAGCAAAAAGATAGAGGTGTTTAGCATCATCCTCCTCTGGTTTGGGCTGTTTTCAGCAGTTCTTTCATTCCCTCCTCAGTATAAGAAATCCCAGAATGCAAAACTAGTGAGAACAGATTTAATCTGCATTGAATCTGTAAAATAAATATGTCATAGTCAACGTGGTCCTATAAACAGGCATTTGTCCAATGCTGCATGGCTGTCATATGATTTATAGCATGAACACTACATTTTCATAAAACTGAAGGTTCAGAGTTAACAGGAAGCTGGTACTTTTACAGCGGATACTGGTAAAAGACAGAACAAAGCTGTTACTTTCAACATGCTATTCTCAGTGAAACAGAAGCTGAAACGGACCTAGGGCTGTGACTGGTGCCACTGGTCAGCAGAGACCTGACTGCAGCATCATATCCCAACTGAAAGTAGTATTATGGACCCCCTTTATTCTGTAATTTACCATAGTAGGACATAACTTTTGAACTGATTGCACTTTTTGAGACTCCAATAGTAGACAATGTGAACATTTAAAAAAATATTTTGCATCAGTCATCTGACTTTCTGGTGAAATTTGTACAGAAAACTACCAAATAAGGAAATAAAAACATTTTGAGGCATAAATTAAAACCAGATGACAACCTTTAACAGAATGATGCACAAGACAATATGATTTATCATAGCAGGAAAAGTGTCGGTAATAACATTAACAATGGCTCTGAAGATAAGTGTAAATAATTTTACTATTTATTTTCTGTGGAAATGTATTACCTTGAGGAATGTTCTTACTGAAGGTAACCCAGACGTGCAAAGAAAAGGATTTGTGGAAGCCATATGTGTGATAGTTGTGCTTTTTCCCCCTTTTCAGCAATGTGTTGACAAGAACAGTAGGTGGCGCTCCAAGGACAAGAATGAATTGTTACGACTCAATGAATTCAGATTTTATTTCATGACACGTTACATAAAGGCCCATAAAATGTAATCATCCTTCACTTCACTCATAGTTTTACAAACAATTAAATGCACATGCACAAACATTAATGTTTACAAAGAAAAAGTCAGTGTTACATACATAACATAATACATTTATTCAGGTAATGCATGGAAGTAACAATTTAAAGAGCTTGCACTTTCTGTCAGGATTTCCATTTAGTCAGACTCAGCTCTGTTTTACTCTTTGCTTTTACATTTACATATGAAACACATGCTAAGCTCATAAAATGAGAATAGTTAAGATTTATCAACTATCAAGTAGTATTTTAAAATGAACTTTCAGCTCCATCTGGGACTCCTGCATTCAAATATTTCTTATATGTTAATGATGCAATAATACTGCTTATTTTTATATGCAACAACTATTATAAATAGCCCTGTGCATTTCAAATCTATATATATATTCATCAATTTTCAGTATTTTATAATGTTTATTGTGAGAAGTTACCTACTGCAGCCACCTGACAAGTAGTCTTCACTACTCTCCCAAACAGTAAATGCCATAGGGACCAATGGGACCATTTTTGGACTGAATTTAACACTCAATCTTGTCCACAGGAGCAGAAGACTGTTGACTGGAGTTTTGTTCTCTGCCTTTCTGACGCTTAACAACATAAAACCTTATCACAAGTATAAACACTACCACGGCTATGGCAGCGAAAATCCATATCCAGAGAAAACCACTAGCAGGAGCAGAGGAAGCCTTCAGTGTATCATTATTGGCGGCTGGTTTAACAAGGCCTATGCCGATAGGAGTTGAGACTTTGATGCATTTGTCTTGATCTTTAAGTACAAATCCTTCACTGCAGGAGCACACAAAACTTCCAAGAGTATTTTTACACTCTTGAGCACATTGATCGCTCAAACATTCATCAATGTCTTCACACATTTTGTCATTAACTATAAATCCATCAGGACAGGAGCATGACTCGCCAGTGTTTCTGTCACATACTGCAGGGCATTTCTGATGTGCACAGTACAGTTTGCAGAGCACAGGGTTCTTGCTGTCTGAGATATATCCACTGTAACAAGAGCATTTAAAACCTCCTTCTACATCTGTGCATGTATGCTCACAGGGAGCAGTTGAACAGCCTTCATAGCTTTGGAAAACATTTGGATCAGATTTTGCCTGGCATGGTTCTTTGAGCTTTGATTTGCACAGAAACCCATCAGTTTTGTCCGAGCACAGCCTCTCTGTCCACTTTTGATCGTTTGAAAGTGACACACAGCGTGGAGAGCAATATTGAACGCTGTCCTTCCAGGTGCTGAAGGATGGAACAAAACTCTGATTACTTCCAGAGGTCCACTGATAGCCTCTCAGTGGAGTTGAAACGTTGCTGCAGGCACCATCAGGTAAATGAAGTCCAATCCAGAAGTTTCCATGTAATGCTAGATTCCAAATGTCAAAGAAGCTCTCATCTGTCTCTAACTGAAATGTCACTAGCTCTCCATTCCTCTCATGGCATGTATCCTTGGCTGTTTTAAAATCCACTCTGTCTTGGTTTAAAGTTATGCAGTAACTCTCAGTACAAAAATGCCTACAGGTGCCAGTCTGCTTTAGGCAAAACCCTGTCTTAATAGACAATGAAAAAATAAATGAAATCAAAATAATTATTGTCATGATTTTCACTGGCACAAACACAGTCATTGTGCCGTAGATCTTCTTCTGATGTTGGCTGGCTAAAGTTAGAGAATTTAGAGCCTGTGGCTTCATACTCAGGAAGCAACACCCATCTGGACAATGCCAAAGTTAAAGACAGGAAGGAAATGAGAGTTTTTTTCCAATGTTATCCTAAAAATGCAAAAACAGGAGCGAAAACAGGAGCCAAATCCTGACAATAAATAATTGTTTTGTCTTAGTAGTGGTGAAAAGTAAGTTTTGTATTTTAATACAGTGTTGAGGTACTTCACTACATTTAAAATGGCCATATTGTACTTTTTCTACTACATGTGCTTAAAGCAGCTATAATTGATATTTTTATAATAACAATGTATCAAATGACAATGTGAAAACAATGTGAAAGGGGTCAC